GGGGGGGGGGGTGTGCCCAGGTGAGGCTGTGCCCAGGTGAACAGGCCGGGATGCTCCAGGTAAGCCGTGCCTGGGGATTTGGGGGGAAATGGGGGGAAAAGGCAATAAAAGCTGATTTATTTCAGTTTGTTGGAAATAAAGGGGGGGAGGGGCCAGGTGGGGGAGGGGCTGCTCAGGTGGGGGTGGGACAATGTGGTCACGTGGGGGGGGGGGCAGCAGCCCCCCGGGACCGATCCAGGAGTGCGGAGGTACCCCCAAATCACCCCAAAATAACCCCGAAATCACCCCAAAATAACCCCAAAATGATCCCCAAAAATCATCCCAACATAACCCCAAAATCACCACGAAATAACCCCAAAATCACCCCCAAAATAATTCCCAAAAATCAACCCCAAAATTACCCCAAAATAATCCCAAAAATCACCTCAAAATAACCCCAAAATCTCCACAAAATCACCCCAAAATAACCCCATCACTCCCAAAATAGCCACCAAATAATCCCCAAAACCACCCCCAAGAATCGCTCCAAAATCTGCCCCCAAACCACCCCCAACTCGCACCAAAATCACCCCAAAATCAGCTGCAGGCTCAACTTCCAAACCCCGCCAAATCACCCCAAAATCACCCACAAAATCAGCTGCAGTCTCAGCTCCCAAACCCTGCGGAATCGCCCCAAAATCACCCCCAAATTCACCTCAGAATCAGTCCCAGAATCCCCCAAAAAACCCCAATTTAGCCCAAAAATCCCCCAAATCAGCCCAAACCTGCAGCCGAGTCACCCTGAAACCGCCCCCAAAATCACCCCAAGTACCCCCAAAATCTTCTCCACATCCCCCACAGCCCCTCCATCCCCTATAACCCCAATCCCCTATAACCCCAATCCCCCACAGCCCCCATATCCCCCATATCCCCTATAGCCCCCATATCCCCTATAGCCCCAATCCCCTACAGCCCACATATCCCCCACAGCCCCCATATCCCCTATAACCCCCATCCCCTATAGCCTCCTCCCCTACAGAAGGAACAGGGGCAGTTCTGGGGACTGGAACAGGGAAGGTTTTTCCCACATTTAACAAGGTCGGGAAAGGGGATCCTGGGAATTCCCGCGTGGGGGATCCCACCCGGAACCGGGGGCAAAGGGGGGGATGGGGGGGATTTGGGATCCCAGGAGTGGTACAGGGGGGATTTGGGATCCCCAGAATGGGACAATGGGGATTTGGGATCTCCAGAACGGGACAATGGGGATTTGGGATCCCCAGAACGGGTTCAAACCAGTTCAACCCCAGTTGAAACCAGTGACCAGAGGCCTGGCAGAGTTTGGGGTCTCCCCTGCACTATTGGGGCAGTTTTGGGGTCTCCCCTGCACTATTGGGGCAGTTTTGGGGTCTCCCCTGCAATATTGGTGTGTTTGGGGTCTCTCCTGCACTTTAAGGCCCCTTCCCACCCATCCTGGGACTCTGAGTGGTCCCACCCCACGGTCCCCAGCCCATCCCCACATTCCCGTGTTCATGTCCCATCATGTCCCAGGCCTGTGTGTCCATCCCAATGTCCTGATGTCCCCATCCCAGTGTCCATCCCAGTGTCCCCATCCCAATGTCCCCAGCTCAGTTTCCCATCCCAAAATCCCAGCTCAGTGTCCCATCCCACAGTCCCATGCTTGTCCCCATCCCAGTGTCCATCCCAATTGTCCTGATGTCCCCTGTCCCACCCCAGTGTCCCATCCCACTGTCCCTATATCAGGTCTCAGCCCGGTGTCCCCATCCCAATGTCCATCCCAAAGTCCTGCTGTCCCTATCCCAGTGTCCCCATCCCAAGGTCCATCCCAGTGTCCTGCTGTCCCTATCCCAGTGTCCCCATCCCCATGTCCCATCCCACAGTCCCATGCTTGTGTCCCCCTCCCAGTGTCCATCCCAATGTCCTGATGTCCCCTATCCCAAAGTGTCCCATCCCAACGTCCCTGTATCAGGTCTCAGCCCAGTGTCCCCATCCCAATGTTCCATCCCACTGTCCCATCCCGATGGTTTCATCCCGGTGTCCCAGATCAGTGCCCCATCCCCCTGTCCCCATCCCCACGTCCATCCCAATGTCCTGCTGTCCCCATCCCACACATCCCCATCCCACACATCCCCATCCCAATGTCCATCCCAATGTCCTGCTG